ATTTATAATGGTTATTCACATTGAGGCAGGTTATAGAGGATTCTCTAGATCTAGCATGTGTAAGACTTTATTGTAAATAATAACATTTTGTATGATGCACGACACGAATTTCGGTCCCTGAACTCTGCGTGTTAAGCAGCGCCAACTGGCCGTTACACCACTCCCGCTCTGAATGTAAAAATATAAATTATGCGAACAGTAAATGGTATTAGTTGGAATTTCCATAGGACTCTTCCAGTAAAAAGGAGAGAGGAGTGGGCAGGTGGTGCGACGGTTGCAGCCGCCAACAGAAACTGTAGATTCTGTAGGAGAGGAGATCCCTGGGGCGCGTGAACAATTTTGCTTCCGCTTTTACACACGCTCCGGAGTTTCCTTCCCTTGCAAAAGTTGGATTTCTTAAGGTGATTCAAACCTCTACTGTTCTATATTATATTTTAGGGTGTGTCTTTCGATGTGATACTTCACGAATCGCGAGCTCTCAGCGAACAAAAGGAACTGCCGCCTGATCACGCAAGTTGAGATGGGCAAGATGTGTCATTCAGTAAAACCTCCGGTGTAGCACAGGAATGTTGTACTTACAAATACTTTCACAAAGTTTTAATACAGAAATATTTATGTTTGTAATAATTTTGATGACAATGCAGTAGCAGTGGTTGCCTTGGTATGCAGTTTGCAGTTTCTCGCCAAAGTGATAAATATACGGTTATATGAATGTTTAAGTGAATACCGCCAGATTGTGTTGTTTCGAAGGCTCTAGACCTTTTTGGAACATATCTATGTGATTATTTGGTACATGTGTACGTTCTCCTCTCTTGTATTTTCCTCCCCATGTTTTCCTTTGGGTGGAGGGGGAAGTGGTCTTATTTTCTGCGCGCGCACTACGCGGGTCAAATCTTGGATCGAATCTCGCCTAGGCCAACTTAGCCTTCGGGTTCTGGTTGTTTGACTCATCTGGTAACATAGAAAGAAGGAGTAAAACTATTTCTGGCTCTTCGCAATCTCTTTATAACCAAACACATTCGAAATGTACTGCGATTCTGATGGGAAAGGGATGCGTGGCGCACTCCATAGAGGAGATATCACCGCTGACACTTTGCTCGTTGGTTCAAAATTTTTATCGATATTGGTTAGTTAGCGTCTTTGCAGAATTCATCACCCTATAGGGTCTTCAAAGGAAGTGCTCACGGTGCCAAAAGGCTGACAGGGGGGGGGGAGAGTCTGGTAGTACACTGCGTCCCATAATTATACGTCCACCTAAGAATTTCCCAAAATCTCAGAAATACAGATGTTACGAAAAAAGTCTCCTATGTGACAATGTATCGCATATAAATACGCAATTGCCTATGAACATCAATTTTCTATTTGAGATCACAGGAATTTTTCCCAATAATTTTTGTGTAAAAGGCCACTCAGCCGACGTCCCAAAATTATACGTCCACCTCACGTTTATCGATTACTTTTCACTTCTGTTCCACGAAACTTTTTCATTTGTGGTAACACTTCACTTCTTAAGGGAACAGCATAATAAAGACTGCTGTTGGATTTTGAGAAAGGGAAAATGTCGCAAAAACTGTTGAACAACGCAACCGCACCAGATTTGGTCCAGATTCACGCCAAGCTTGAGAATTTTTTCAGGGGTTTCACATGATATGGAGCTTAGAAGAGCTCTAAAAGTCTCTCATTACTTTTCGATGGAAACAAAGGCCGTGTTACAGAAATAACATCCATTTTCATCCAACGGTGCTCTGTCATCGAATCTTCTTGAGAACTTTATGCCTCAACAGACTTTTGTTTCATGCATGTAAAGGAATCCCAAGATCGTTCTTGATCGGAAAATGTGAAAGACGTTCATTTGTGGCAAGGAATCGTGACGAAAACTGGGCTGATTTTTGCATGAAGGTGCAGCCGAGCCGACTGGAGCAGGGTCCTTTTTTCCTTGCTATGCATGAGTGTTTGTCTGTCTTTCTTTTCAACATTTTCTTTCTTTTAGTAGTGCTCCTCTAAGAAAAAAGCCATTAAGGGAAAGGTAAACGTGAGAAAGAAACAAACAAATGCCAAAACATATCGGGCAGAAGCGAACCTTACTTCAGTCGGCTCGGCTGCACCTTCATGCAAAAATCAGCCCAGTTTTCGCCACGATTCCTTGCCACAAATGAACGTCTTTCACATTTTCCGATCAAGAACGATCTTGGGATTCCTTTACATGCATGAAACAAAAGTCTGTTGAGGCATAAAGTTCTCAAGAAGATTCGATGACAGAGCACCGTTGGATGAAAATGGATGTTATTTCTGTAACACGGCCTTTGTTTCCATCGAAAAGTAATGAGAGACTTTTAGAGCTCTTCTAACTCCATATCATGTGAAACCCCTGAAAAAAAATTCTCAAGCTTGGCGTGAATCTGGACCAAAATCTGGTGCGGTTCCGTTGTTCAATCAGTTTTTGCGACATTTTCCCTTTCTCAAAATCCAACAGCAGTCTTTATTATGCTGTTCTCTTAAGAAGTGAAGTGTTACCACAATGAAAAAGTTTCGTGGAACAGAAGTGAAAAGTAATCGATAAACGTGAGGTGGACGTATAATTTTGGGACGTCGGCTGAGTGGCCTTTTACACAAAAATTATTGGGAAAAATTCCTGTGATCTCAAATAGAAAATTGATGTTCATAGGCAATTGCGTATTTATATATGCGATACATTGTCACATAGGAGACTTTTTTCGTAACATCTGTATTTCTGAGATTTTGGGAAATTCTTAGGTGGACGTATAATTATGGGACGCAGGTAAATGTCATTCGATGCAATTGCGTGAAATGGCAGTTCGAGGCCACCACTAGCGTGCTGTCTCAGCTAACCAATGACGCCCAATGACGCCATCAAAACGCACCGCCCTCCAGCCATCGTGACCACAGTCTTTAATTATTCAGAGCACTGAGCGACAGATGTGGAAAACACAGGAAGGGGAAGATTCTAAGAGGGATGAATTTGTCACTGGAAAGCATCACTGGATTTTTGAGATGCGCCACGCGTTCGATCATTGACGGGAATTAATAAGTATCTGTTAGGTTCAGTTATTCATGAGTCTCATCCCGTGGAGTAAAAATCCATCCTGGGGTAAGCCTTGGGTAAAGACTAGTTGACACGGGAGAGGTGGAGGACTTGGTAGAACTGGCAGTATTCGCTCCATGGACGTCAGATTTGGTAGCGGCATCTGTCACATTTGCTTCACGCTTGTACGGCTTAGTTTGAAAGTCTACCCAGTTCAGAGCTCTATCCACGGCTTTGGCATTAGGTCACAGATTACTTATAGGTTATTTTTCCGGCTCTCCAAATCTTAAGCGCCTTTTCACTTGGAAGAGGTAAAGCAGCGAGGATGCGCCGACATTATACGAAGTTCATTCAGGATTGTAGTGATTGAATGTGATTTCGTCTGTAGAATGACTTTCTTGAGGCCAACCGATGTGCAAGTCAGTGCTTTTATCCTCTCAGACAAGTTAGGTGGCAGTTCTTCAACCCTGGGGTGATGGGACTGTGCGCCAATAAGCAGCGCCACGTTCCACTGCCGTACTTTTAGCCTCTGCTGTCTAATGATTTCATGATTCGTGGGCTTACCATTCATATCGTACCTTCAAAAAAACCACTGAAATCTTACAGTTGAATGGCAACTTAATGACTTATAATTAAGGTGTTGGAGTCAAATTATGGGTAAAGGAGCACCTACCCAACGAGCGCGTGTGATCGACTGTCGTCAAGATGCTGTCAGAGCTGTGAGATACAACGGTAACAGACATTGTCAATAAAATTATTCAAGAGTTTTCACCACTGAGCTTATGTAATTCATCGTTCACACAGCGCGAATAAATTTATTCCTTTGGGGTACGCCATGCACTCGACTTCTGCGCAGAATCGTAGGTAGAGGTGTTTAGATGTCTGCTGAGGCATTCGAATGGATTGTGTTGGGCGGATGTTTATCATTTTATTTTCTCGAACATGCATCGTTACACTTGATCTTTTCCAGAGCTTTCTAGGCTTATTTAGCTCGAGCAAGATTTGATATCCCTGAAGCCACGAACCCAAGAATGCCTTAAGCCTTTGGGTGAAATTCGAAAGTTTCTATTTTTGGGAAAAGACAGAGAAGTTTCAATCAAATTTCCAATTCAATTCTTGCCTCCATATATATCTTCTCTCTTGTTTCTGTGTGGACTGTCGTCATTCCAGTTGATGGTAATTATTGCTTGACATGTGGTAGTGACAAATCGGTCAAACTTTGGAATCCGATCAAAGGCTCATTGTTGAAGACTTATGTTGGTACAGGAAATGAGGTGAGTATTTCAGTTGTTACTGTAAGGGCTGGTAAGGTTGTAGAATGAGATATGAGTGCGGAGCCATGACGGCGTGAAGAACTGGCTGCTCATGAGAAAGTTGAGCTTGTAATGGTTGAATTGTAACCCTTTTTACATCTGCGAATTGATTTTTGGGGAAAATCTGAAAAATAAATATAATCAATTAATCAGGTATTTGACGTGGCGTCGTCGTCGGACAACTCCCAAGTGGCAGCTGGTGGAGCCGACAAATGTCTGACCGTTTTTGATGTAGAGACCGGCAAGATTTTGCGGAGGTGGAGAGCACATGCTGGTGAGTCCTGTGCCTCAGGTAGCTTCCAATGTTTACCGCCTTTACGACGGCGTGGCACCATGAGGTGCAGTGCCTTGCAGGCGGCACGGGACGGCGTGGTACCGTGGTGCATCACGTTTGTTGTTTATTTTCTTCCCGCTTGCGCGCCTTCTTCCACATACCGATTTTATGTATTTATCCCATGGATCATACCTAATTTAATTATGAACGAGTTGATTCAAAGGACATTAATGCTGTGTTCATCTGAAATTTCTACTTTCATTCCTAGTCTTCGACGCGCTCGCGCAATCGCGTCTGCCTTACACGGCCAAAAACTGAACACGCACGCTATTATCAAAGCTCAAAATATGTACTAGTTATTTTGAATTGATTTTACGAATCTGGTTGCTTCGCGCCTTCTCAAATATTTTTTGCTCAGCACGAGTGAACGCCGTCGCTTTCAACGAAGAGTCAAATGTGGTGTTCTCCGGCTCGACGGACTGTACTATGCAGGCGTTTGATAATCGAAGCCGCAGCGATAAAGCGATTACAGGTGAGCATCCAAGCAAGGTTGTGCCCATCAAAAATATGGAACGAATACTCCTACCAGGGATCGTGTTCATGCTTCAGTGATAGAGATCACGTCAGCATAATTAGGGGGGATTTTTAAAGGCCTAGTAAGTTTTAGGTAAACTGTACAGTCAAGTTTTGATAGTCAGCACCTGTTTTCTGCTATTGCTGTACCTAAAGGCAGGTGGTACGATAAATTGGAGGGCGAAGAAGAGGACGTATGTTTATCATTAAGGGAGGCAGCATCCCTAAAAGGGGCGCGGCGACGAGACGAGGCGCGTTTTGCTGTGAAGGATGCGCTCGCAGCGACCTGGCAGAACCTTTTCGGCGGCGATGAAATCCCATCACATCTGTCCACGCCCACCGATTTGCTACCAGCTTTGCTCCCTCGTCCGAACCCTAGCCGTTGTTGGAGGGAGGCAGAGTAGAGTGGTATCAGCACTGATAAATCTCTTGGCGCAGAATCTATGGATAAACAAGGCGTTTAGAGGATTTATGCCGTTACCACGGGTTTTTCATTTACTGGTGCACCGAGCAGCTCGTTTCCATTCCCAGTAGGCTAACAATTTATCGTGCTATCTGCCTTTAGGGCTACTCACTTGATTGTATAGCGGAAGTGAAATAGGGGCAAACCCTTTGCTGAAAAACCGGCTTCGTCCCACACCCTCAGGGTGACCGCCTGTCTTCGAGTAGGTATATTCCCCTTCTTCAACCCCCGACGTGGAATCCTTCAAAATACAAATATGCTCTATTGCAGCCCTACAAATTTCAATCTTTACCTAGATTTTCAACGAGGCGACGGACAGTGTGCTCAGTATAGACATAAATGGCGGAGAAATAGTTGCCGGCTCAGCTGATGGCAATTACCGATTGTACAGTATCAGGGAGGGGAATGTGAGTTTGCTGTCTTCTGCATTGGGTTTCATAGTCGATTTTTAGTAGCTAATCTTCTCCAAAAGTGTTCCGATTTTTCCGAGCAAAGTAAAGCCCTGAATGGGCAGAATTTTTCGATTTATTGTGGAATTGAGCCGCCTTCTTGACGAAATCCTGACGATTCTCGATTCTGAATATGTGAGTGCGGATCCAATTCCCGCCTGGGGCCTAGAGTTTTGCCTATATTCCAGCATTCTTGTTATAAGAATCTGGGATTGTTTCTCCTCTTTTATGTGCGTGGTACTACTGTTGTAGCTGCTTATTCCTGTTTCCATATAAGGAATGGCCGGCTTTTCCGGTCACCTGTGCGATGTGCTTTACAATGACCTTGCGGGGGCCAGCCGATGTCCAAGTCAGTGTTTTTATCCTTCCAGACAAGTCTGGTACCAATTAACCGACCCCGGAGGGATGGAAGGCTTGGTTGGCCCGGACGACTCACGACCCAGGATTTGATCCCTGGACCGCTCGCGTGATGAGCGTGCCAGCTTGCACCTATGCGGGGTCAACAACCCTATGTTGCTACAAGTAGCAACGGGGGGTCGTATTTTGGTGAGTTTGTAGGGGGGTCGTACTTGCTTAGGTTGTAAGAAGTGGCATGTGATGAGAGGGGAGCGGCGCGGGAGAAAATTTGCCGTTTCAGCGCGCGTATATATCCCCCCCCTAGAAAATGGAGCAGTTGAAATATGGGTAAACATAGGGAATTGTAAGGAAATGTAGGGAAATTTTTGCGGTTTTAAGGGAAGTATATACCCCCCGCTCGACGGTAATTTTTTGGGGTAAAAATTGGTCGGAAAGGGGGGGGGGTCGTAGGAAACTTTTCCTGAAAGGAGGGGGGTCGTAAAAACTTTTCGAAAAGTAGCAACGATAGGACTGACCCTGCTTGAAGGCCTTACAACCAACTTCGCCCGCTGCTTGAGATGGCCACCAAATAAATAATCAATAATTAAATGAACTAAATAATATAAATAAATGGTAAATAAAATTCCACAGCTCTCTGGTGCATTTTCTGCCTCGAATTAGATGCTCACAATTGTGAAGAATTTATAGGTATTTGATATTTAGCTTAACTCAGAAAAGCGGTTTCAGGTCCATATTGATTTTATGGGTGAAAGTGTGAATAGTGTTCATTTCACACCGGATTCGAATTGTGTACTGGCATCAGTTCAGGATGGCAATGTACGGCTTATGGATAAGGCGAATGGCAAAATGTTAGCCAGGTGAGCTACTCATCGCTATTTTTTTCCACTTTGTACCATATTTATGCCCATTTTAGCTATACTGGTCATAAAAATTCCGAGTACAAAGTGGATAGCTGTGTAATGGCTTCGATAGAAGAGGTAGTGTCGGGTTCTGAAGACGGGTTTGTATACGTCTGGAGGTGAGTCATTTTTGAGTGAATTTTGAAAAAAAGACCTTTCGAAATAGGGTGAATGTTAGGCAGCGCTTGGGATGCACCACGCAGACAACTTCCATTCGGAATCGTAGCGATTTTGGATTCATATTTGGCAGATACAATTACTTTGGGAAGAACCCATGTGGATTTTTCGTGCTCCGAAACAACTCTTGTGCTAATCGATCAACATCGAAGAGTAGAAAGCCTGTTGAGCTGGGGGCAGGTCCAGCCGGGCACCGGGCTATGCATTTGATTTTTGTCACGCAAATTGATTCATTAATTTTTCTATGAAACATTGATGACATAGCTGTATAAAATATGTATAACTATTAAATGTCATTACTGTATATGGGTCCAGGCCAGACCAAAATCGAGCACAGGTAGATTTTATATTATGTGGGC